GCTCTTATTTATATGCAAATGTAATAAAACATTTTGAATCTCGAAGCGCCTTGTCGTCCAGTCTTCTTGCGAGCTGTATGAATATAATATAGGATTGTACCCAGGGTAGCGTGCGGCCGCGACATCCTAAGCGCGCGCGCGTGTATGTGTGTGTGTGTGTGTGTGTGTGTGTGCGTGCGTGTGTGTTTTAGTACGTGAGTATGTATATGTGTACATATGAGTGTATGTGTTTGTGAGTATATGTGTATTTGTATATACGTATATGTGTCTTCATATGTGAATATATATATATGCGCTTCTGTGCGTGTGTCAGTGGCCTTGTGTCGTGAACTGCGAACTGTTCAAAATATTACATCATTTCTTATTCTCCCGCATGACCTTGGGCGGAGCGACGTTACCAGCTGGGGATCCATAATCGAGCCGCCCGTGATGGAGGTTCCCCATAATGCTTGTGTGTGAAGGGTTATTGTATCCTTATGCGGGGTTTCGATGTAAAGGCACTGAATGGAGAGAAAGTAATTGTGTATGTATAAATCTACTAGACATACTGTAAATGTCCAAACATGTATATAAACATGCATGAACATCAGTAAGACATACACACACGCACGAGTGTGTGTGTGTAGCGTGCGCGTCCGTGCGTGTGTTCGTTATATCGAGATGAATGAGCAAGTCTTTATTTGATAAAAATAGCTAAGTATAAAGATATAGAGATAATGATGAAAATATGATCAATGATGTTAAAATGATGACAAAATTAGTAACAACGACAATAATAGTGTGGTACTACTACTACTTCTAATAATGATGATAATGATAAGGATAATAGTGATAATGATAATGATAAAGATAATGATAATAATTGTAATAATAATGATAACAATAATAATGATAATAATAATAAAACAATATCCATTATTATTATTATTATTATAACCATAGCTAAGGTAATGGTGATAATAATAATGAAAATTATAATAGCAGTTATAACACCAGTTTTATTGTTATTTTTATGATCATAACCATCAAATCATCTCGGTAATTTGTACGATAAAAATCGTTACAGGAGAGAGAAAAGAGGTGAAATAATGAGTTAAAGACTAACACACAAAAACGCACATACACATACAAACACATATACACAAAAAAAACACTTGCAATTACAAGCGCACTTTCACACACACAGGCACAGAAACAAAAATACTCGCAAACACAAACACAAACACGAGAGAGAGAGAGAGAGAGAGAGAGAGAGAGAGAGAGAGAGAGAGAGAGAGAGAGAGAGAGAGAGAGAGAGAGAGAGAGAGAGAGAGAGAGAGACAGAGCCAGAGAGAGAGAGACGTAAAGAGACAGTGAGAAGTGGAAAGTGATTCGAACACCCAGAGACAGAAAGAGACAAAGAGCGAAACCCCAGGCGTGCGCGGAGGCAGGTGTAAGAGAGGGACCGCCAGGAGGACGAGGCAGGTGTGTATATAATGTTGCCGGACGATAATCGATCGTTTTCCTAAAAGGACGCGTATCCCTCACCACCGCAGTCAGCTGTTTGAGAAACGTTTCCGTGTTTGTAGCCTTGAGAAATTATTAATGAATCACCAAGAAACCCAGAGAATAGAATGAAGGATATTGTATTAATCAATGAGTAAGGTGAAATATATCGTATCCTTCAACTATAGATTAGCAGATGTGAAGGTTCATCGACAGTGGGCAGGCTGGGACATCGAGGTAGGGAGACTTTAAGCCTAAACTCTTCCTGTTTGTATCAGGTGGTGATGCCATATACGGAGTTGGAAGGAGATATCACAAAACCTTATAAAGTTAAAGATAACAATAGAATTGAATTATGTTTCTTTATTGTTTGGTTTGTAAATGGTGAAATGAAGTTACTGGAATCACCTGAGGTCGTTTTTCTTCGCGTGTGTTTAGCAATGACTACATTGATTACAGCCTATCAGCCCGTACGCGATAATCCCTAGCGTTAATGGCCTTTACTTTGGTTGTTTAGTATTAGACATACTGACTGATATCTGTACAGGTAAACAAATAAACATGCGCGCACACACACATACGCACACACGCACACACACACACACACACACACACACACACACACACACACACACACACACACACACACACACACACACACACACACACACACAAACACACACACACACACACACACACACACATACACAAACACACAACACAACACAACACAACACACACACAAAAAAACAACAACAAACAAACACACACCTACACAACATCTACACACACATCCATATTCAAGCATTCCACTTCCTCCCTCAGCAATTTAACCTCTCACCCCCCCTCCTCTCCCCTCCATCAGGTACCGCGCCCCGGAAGTCCTCCTGCGTTCGACCAACTACAGCAGCCCCATCGACATCTGGGCGGTGGGTGCCATCATGGCGGAGATCTATACTTTCAGGCCTCTCTTCCCGGGCTCCTCAGAGATCGATCAGATTTTCAAGATCTGCTC